ATAACATTTAAATTTTCAAATTTCAAATTTTTTAAGGTTTAAAATTTAAAATCTCAGATTTTTTTAAATTTTATTTATAAATAAATTAATTAAACATATATTTTATTAATTAAATATATTAAAGTCACAATTTCATATAATATGGTCACAAATTCTATATAATTGATATCAAATCACAAATTTTATATGTCACAAATTATTTTACGAATACAATTCAAAAATTTTACAAGTTACAATTTGTTTATCGGTGACAAATAAAAAATTGAAGCGTCACAAATTATTTTACAGTCACAATTAAAAAAATTTATATGTCACAATTTGTTCATCGATCACAAATCAACAATTTTATAAGTCACAAATTATTTTAAGATCACACATCGAAAATTTTATAAGTCACAATTTGTTCATTGGTAAAAAATTTATATCATGACATATTCATCAGTCACAAATCACAAATATTATAAGTCACAATTTAGTAGACATTTACAAATTGTCAAATTATCGGTCACAAATTAACAATTTTTTTAGGTTACGCATTATTTCTTGGTCACAATTTATATTTTTCATTGGTCACATATTGTTTATCGATCACAAATTAATGAATTTAATGGTCACGAACAATCAAATCATCTATAACCACCACCAACACTTATGATCATCACCTCACCACTGCCACCGACAGCATGACAATCGAACCCCTGCCGTCGGAACTACCACCACCACCACCACCTCCTCACGTCAACGCATCATCTAAAAATACTGACATCACCACGACCACCACTACCTACCCACAACTACCACCACTAATACAACCACCTCCACCACCAACCACCACCGCACCACCTACAACCATCGCACTACCACCACCAATCTGCAGCTCCGACCCCTCAAATCAACGGCTCCAAGTGAATCTCACCAAGCATAACTTGCCGCTTCGCCAGAAAATCATAGTCGCCGTCTTCGCTGCGCAAAAAAATGCCACTATCAGAGAACACAAGAAAGCACCGGAAAATGTTAGCAATCATCGATTAACATCGGCACGCCAGCACGGGACCACCGCTGCTTTGCTTCCCACACAGTAGCAGCAGCGCCCGAGAGCGCCACTGCTATGCCCAAGTCGCTACGGTAACGAGGCCTACTGTTGTGTTTCGCGCAAAGCGGCAGCACCCGAACCCGCAGCAGCTGCGTTCAAGTCACAAAGGCAGCAGGTGCTGCCCACCGTCACCGGGAGTCCATCATTTTCTCTTATTTTCTGATTTTTGCTAATTTACAGTGCTGGCCCTTCAACTCGTTTGAGAAGATGAACTTCGGTCCATGAAACAGATTTACAGAATTCAAGCAAAGTTGCTCACTCCGTCTCGTGGAGGTTGGGCTGCCGGTAGAGAGGGAAGAGAGGGGAAAAGAGAGAGTGACGGTGAGAAAATAGAGAAGAGAGGATGAGGAAAATTGGAATGAAATTGAT